TGTGTGTGTGTTGGGGGGGGGCTGAAGTCCTGGTGGTGTAACAGAACTGAATGTGTGTCAGATACTCTGATGACGGCCATCATTCGGCATCCCTGAAGTAGGCTGAGGCCTTGTGTCACGGCGGCGTGGTTACAGCGAGACTGCGCCACATCTGTCTCACCGACCCGGGGGGGGGGCAGGACTGTGGGTGTCTTTGGTTTTGAGTGCGACAGCAGGTGGTAGGGAGACAGGAGAGTGAGAGGGGTCTTTGGTCTGATGTTATTGGATGCAGGTCAAAGGTGAATGAACTGAACGTTGCCTTCAAGTTCAGTTTGTAAATGCAGGAAATGAACGCTGTCGAAACACTAAATATGAAAGTTCCTCAGCCGTACGAGAGCTGCCAAAACGTGACACTCTGAGCCACAGAGGCAACATCAACTGTAGGTGGCAATTACATTGTACAAATGTGTCACGTAAATTAACTGAAACATCCATTATATGCCTGCTCCAGCTCTCTCCTTGGTAGTCCTGGTCCTGGTTCTTGTCCTGGTCCTGGTTCTTGTCCTGGTTCCTGGTTCTTGGTCCTGGTGCTGCAGCACATTGTAGCTTTTAGCTGCTTACTTTCTAAAATTCTAAAAAGTGGCCTTGAAAAATGATCATTTTTGACTCAGCTGGGGGTTTGTTTTGTTAACAACAGTGTAAAGTAATAAAAAAAACACTTGAATGTGCAACAAGTCGAAAATAAGAGCTTTAGGAAGCAGCTCCTGAAAGCCTCACGTGAGTCTAATGATCCACGGTGGTTACCTCCTCCTGAACTGAACCTCTTTATTACACTGAATCAGATTTAGTTATGTGCAGTGATCATACTTTAAGACCCGGCTCTGCATCCCTGAAACAGGCCTCCTGTTGTGGGTTGCAAAATGATGCCTTCAAGTTCAGTCTGTAATGCAGTGAATAACACTGGAGCTGCTGCACACGTAAGACACATCAAACCAGTATTAAAGTAGTTTTTTTATGTACTGTGGCATTTAATGAACTTTTTTTTACAAAAGAAAAAGTGTTCAAATAATTCATGAAAACATCCATAACATTGTTAAAGGTTTCTCTGAAGTTCACACATTACTACCTTTAAAGTTGTGTTTAGAGGACAGTAAATAAGACTGGAGCTGCTGCACATTAGAGCTTAACAGTATAAATATGAGTGTGATTACACTGTACAAAAGAAAAACTTAAATAAATAAATAAAATAAATAAATTAACAAAAACTTTAATTATATTGTTCTGGAGCTGCAGCACACTTTAGCTTTAATGCTGCTCGATTTATAAAACCTTTAAAAAAAAAAAAAGCCAAATGTTGCTTTAGGCTTTGCAGGGTTCTGTTTTTACCAATATTTAAAAGATTTTAAAAAAAGCACTTGAATGTTTAATTAGTCTTATTTGAAATGTTTGAACTCAAACAAGCTCAGAAGGAGCACTTGAAGGCCACATGTGAGTCTAATCACGCCGCTGCTCACTCGTACACCGTGAGAGGTATTCAGTCATTTATACCTCTTTGAACTGCTCTTCCTAATCACACTTCTTATTTGGACGTCTACAATGACGGTTTGAGCACCATGTTCCTTCCACACAATCTTCAAAAACATTAGGAATTCTATCAGTATCATAGACAGCGTATTCATCCTGAACCGCCTCTTTGTTGAAGCTTTATAACGTTTTTAAGTGGAAAACTAAAAAACCCAACATCACCAGAATCAGGTTTACAAACAAGGAATTTTGCTTTGGTAATTTGGTGCATAATTAAGCATAGAAAATATAAATAAAGATAAAAAATAGCAGATAAAAGGAGATAATATATACAAATATAAAAAGAGAATATGGCTGGAAATAAGTGAGCTGTAAACAATTGATTTTGCAAAGATAAAATCAGAGGAAAGTGCAATAATGCCTGGTTTTATAAACATTAACTAAACATTTAACCGGACTGATTTGGTATTTGAAATAATTTTGGTGTCTCTGTTTGATTTAATCACAGTTATGCTGGTTTGAACCGTGTTTGGCTGCATGTCAAGACTCATAACTTACTGACCCACTGGCAGGCTGCTACTTGTTTAGATGTAAGTAAGACAAGTTACCATTGAGACTCATAACCATACATTACTGTACTGGTACACATGGCAAGTTTCCTACTTTTTAAAGATGCATATGTGCTTTCATTTTAGACGATAAAACAGTACAGTAGTAACAATATTACGGATTTACTCACTGCCAAACAGGGATGTGATCAGTAACTTGTAGGTCTGTGCTTTGATATCACTGAAGGTCAGAAATGCATTTATATAATCACAGAAACTTAAAGCTGCATTCATTCTGGTACTTTCTAGATCATTCTATGTATCAGAGATGGTATATTCTGCAGGTTGGATTCAGTAGATATGGTAAGAGAATAGGGCAGCAACAGTCAAAATGGGAGCCCAGAGGCCTTCGACTGCTTCCTCTACTGCTATGGCCACTCTGCACCGTGGAGTACATGCAGATCGCATAGCAACAAAGGCCTATGTCTGGCCGTTGTCTGTTACTATCGCTTGAATGCCCCTTACACATGCATGTAAGCGCGTGCATAAGCACTCACGTGCATGCCGTCACCAACACCTCCTACTCCCTCTATCCCATATGCACAGCTATCTTTCTACCTCACACGCACACCGCACACACCACCACCACCCCTCAACACCAACATCATCCCATAATATTCATGGGTCGTCCATTCCCTCTGCCCCCTCCCCCCCCCATGTGCACACAGCTCACCGCTCACTCTGCCACCCCCACTTCCCTGCCTGACAACACCACCGCCCGCCATCCCATAATATTCATGCACACGCTCCACACACATTCATACACAGCAGTGCATTCAGCTCTTTGTTGGCAGAGATGCCTGAGCAATGCGAACGTGCTCATGCACAGCAGTCATGTTTCTGCCTGCTATGATTATTCCATCCGCGCTCAGGCTGCTGAGGCAGGTAGCCCCCAAGTGCAGAGAAGTAACAAAGCAAATGAAGGACGAGGCGAAAAAAGGTGGTGGGTCACGTTTCTATCTCATAATGACCTTGGGTGGAAATATGTTCATAAAATCCAGAGTCAGCCTGAGGCGAACCATCTCTGGATGAGGCCCATCATCCATCCCATGGTAAGGATCAGTGGACAAAGTAAGATCTGTTTAGAGTTGCCCCACCTCAGAGCAGACTCTGCTGCTGCTGCTGCTGCCTCCCTGTATAACAGAGGGAATGCAAGTCATCTCAACATATATGTCATGCTGAAGCTTTAACAAGCATCTCTTCAGGCTCTGCAACCTGGCTACAGTCAATCAGTACGGGACCATTTCAGCATGATAAAATGTCCACAAAATGGGGGAAAGATAAAGATAAAAAAAAAGAGGGCAAGTTATTTACGAGAGAGGGGTGAAGGGATGAGCATAACAGAGGCGCCGGACATGACAGTGGCCAGCTCATCACCATGGCGTTGCTGTGGGAGACAGCGGAAGACGTCACTTGGAGAAACAGGGGACACAAAGGAGGAATACGACATGAGGAGGGCAAAAAAAAGGAGGGAAGGGGGCCTACAAGAAACCTGTCTTTGCAGATATAGACAGTGGAAAGTGTGTGTGTGTGTACGGGGTGACCATTTACTCAGGAACTGGGTGTCAGGGGGTTCAGGTAAATGGGCCACCAAATCCTGGACGGGGACTGCGACAGAGTCTGCAAATGTTTGGTTCCAGTGCCGCACTGACTCATCTGATTCAACAAATGAGCCCTTAAGAGCAGTAAATAAGTTTCATCAGGTGTGACAAGGCTATAGCACAACCTTTTTTCTGTTTTTTTTTTTTACTTCATTGGACTCTGAGATTTAAAAAGAAATGTCTTCAGGGTTCAATTTATGAATCCATAAAATTAAGGAAATCACAGCGCTGCCATCAAAATCAGCCAACGGTGATTACAAAAGATACAAAATAAATACTAAACAATGCATAAAACAACATGAAACTAACAGAGCCAAAACGCAGTAACTACAACTTGTTAGAAAATTGAGTTCTAACAGAATCCAACATATGCAACATCTTTTTTACAACTCCTACAGTTAAATAAAAACACGAATTGACAAAAAATGTAAGATAGAGCTGCAGCACATCTTTTACCTAGAAATAAAATTATACAATGTATCATGAAGTTTCAGCGTTGTTCATCCAGTTACAAACTATTAAATGAGAGACTCTTTGTAACATTGCATCCCAGGCTGAACTTAGAGACAAAACTACCAAATAAACTCACATTAGTGCAGTAAACAAAGATGAATCATACAATATAGCCTATATGTTATACTTTGTGTTCACAGAGCTACCATAAATTAATAAAACACTCTTTAGAGTATTTTAGATTCACACATAATGTCAGTTTTTTTCCCCTCATGTCAAAAACCTGCTTTGTTATTCTTTACTACTTTTTCCTAACCCCAGTGTAACACTCTCTCCTCATGCCCTCCTTCCCCTCCTATCTCGTGATTTATTTGCCTCAGTTCCAATATTTGTCGGCAGTGTGTTTTCTTCCCCTTGTCTAAATGTCACCCCTTCTTCTAAGACAATACAGGGAGTGGGAGAGAGGGAGAACGAGAGGGCAAATGCGGGGGAGATGGAGGAAGGGGAGGGGGGAGGAACTCGTAAAATGAGCAACAAAGTTTGGGAAAATTAAACATTAGGTAGGACACTTTTTCACATGCATATACATTTACAGTACATGGAAACAGAAACGCTGTGTCATAGTTTCTGATGTCAGGATTCTGTGGGACATCTGATGGATCAATTTTCCTGCTGAGTATTTCTATAGAGGAAACAAAAGGCTTTAGTTTGTGTTCTCATTAAGTTATTTCTCAGCAGCAAATAAACTCCAGCACACATTAACATACAAAGATTTATACACACATTTGTATGTGATAATCATTCAAATGACATTATTTTACAGGCTCAGATCTGAGGTCTCAAGCCAAACATACACAATAGAAAGCATACTTACACTCTTAATACTTGCATAGTACAACTATTATCCTTCCCAAAGCCTCCTCCTCCTCCTCCTCCTCCCCTTCCTCGGCATCACTCCACACCCTGGATCACGCCTGTCCTCTCTCTCCCACCCTCATTCTCTACCTCCTTTATAACCCATCACTCCCATCTCACTGCTCTCACTCATTCTTCTGTTTCAACCTGGACTGGACATGTTTGTTTTCTTGGGAACGAAACTGAGTACTTGCTGACACGATGTTCTGCCGCTTTTTTGTTGTTGTTGTAAAAATTTTATTTTACTAGCCCTTCTGGATTTTAAGTTTTGTTTTTGAGGGGGTAGATTCTACTAATATGTTCAATTAAATTGGGACATGTGGATTTATTTTTGTTTTTGAAGGATGAGTTTGGCTCGCAATTTGTAAAACATTCCAGTGAGCATGCTTTTGCTGTCAGTGACAGCACAAGTGAAGAAACCCATGAACAACTTTATTAATTGAAATTGGGATTCAGTTTCAATTTGACCAACTCAGTATCAAAAAGAAGGATAACTGGATATCGCAGGACTATGAACTGGTAAGAATCAGTGTTAATTTTGCAATATTGTCATATTGAATATTATGTTGTCTCATATTTGCAGCTTCCAAAGATTTCGCAGGAAATTATTGTTTATTTGAAGGTTTTTTAAAACTTCTTCAGTGGTGTCTTAGTCTCTGACCTGTTAACTTTTGTCGTTTCTACAGATATGTGGGGATCATCCCCAGACTCTGGTCCAGAAACATAAGCCAACACCAGCACAGACAGGCAGACAGATCACTTCAACTGTGGAGACTGGCAGCGTGCTGTCCAAACACCCAGCCTGACGCACGGAGACGGACAGACAGACGGACAGTCTGATGCCAACTGTCTCCACTGTCAATCTCACGGCACCACTCCTCCTCCTGTTGCTATGGGCAACCCACCCCACCATGGCAACCAACTGGCTGTAAGTCTAGCGTGCGAGGGAGGAAGAGAAAGAGGGAGTTTGTTTGTCATGCTATAACTTTTAAAAGATGGTGACATGTCTCTAAATCTCTTTCAGTCGCTCCCCTCTCTTTCTTTGTCTCACTCCTGGTGACCTTTTCTCTTTTCTTTCTCTCTGCCTTCACTGTGTCTTCTCTGTCTTCTTTGCCTGGTCTTCCCCTTGTTTCCATCCTCTCTAAAACTCTGCCCGGTCGTTACCTCTTCATCCTTTTTTGTACCCTTTTCTCTTCTCCATGTGCTCTTCCTCTTTCACTCCCTCCCCTTTTCTTCATTATGCATCCTCTTTTTTTGCCCCTTTTTCCCCCCTTTCCCTTTCCACAACCTGCTCTGAATCACTGTACCACTCCCCCACCTTTGTGTCCCAGCTCCCTGGCGAGGCTGCCTCGCTCCAGGCCCGTGTCCGGTGCTGCCCCATGTGCGCGGCTGAGGGGGCTGACCCCAGGGCAGGTGGGGGTGTGCAGGGCGCGAGGGGAGGTCATGGAGTCCGTACGCAAGGCAGCCGAGATGGTCATAGAAGAGGTATGGTCAGAGGGGGGAAAAAAAAAGTCTCAGGGTCATGACCACTATTAGCTTCAAAACAGCCACTAGTTTCATAACACTTATTATCAGCATTATCAGTGTGTGTGTGTGTGTGTGTCGGACCTGATAAATTCTACATGAGACCCCCCAATCTCACTGCTTTGCATGTCACTGTCTAACTCAGTGCCAGCACCAGTTCAGGAATCGGCGCTGGAACTGTTCCACCACCCCACGTGGGATCAATGTATTCGGCAGAGTCATGAACCAAGGTATCCTCATATTGAAGATGTGTCATGGAGAATGCCCTCTGATAAACATGAGGCGGCTCTCAGAATCAGAATTTCCACATGTCTATTTTTGATTCAGGGACTCGTGAGGCGGCCTTTGTGCATGCTCTGTCCTCAGCGGCCGTGGCAGTGGCTGTGACCCGTGCCTGCACCCGAGGGGAGCTGGAGAGGTGTGGCTGTGACAGGAAGGTCAGGGGGGTCAGCCCCGAGGGTAAGCTTGGATTACATTGCATGAAAATGTAACGGGTAAATCCACACTGAGTCACACACCAAAAAAACTGCTGCTACGCTGGTTTCTGTATGTAGCATGACATACAAAGCAGTAATGTCCACATCCCACACAGTGAAGTCTCAGGCGGTATTTTCCTCATCAGCTCTGATATTACTGATTAGATTGTGGCCATAAGTGCAATACGTACTGACAGACAGCAGTGTCGTGTGATCTAGTGTGGATTTAACAGCCATCTGTTTCAGCTTTAAATCTGAAGTGGTTTCAGGGTTGCAATGATCCAGCGTACTGTCTCTCTCTCTGTCCTACCACAGGTTTCCAGTGGTCAGGGTGCAGCGACAACCTGTCCTACGGTGTGGCATTCTCCCAAACATTTGTGGATGAACCAGAACGAGCCAAGGGGCTGTCAGCAGGGCGACCACTCATGAACCTCCATAACAACGAGGCTGGTCGAAAGGTTGGTGGCAGCACTCTTTGTTGACATCCGACTTGATTTCCAGTCTTAGTCATCTGCTCCCCTTATACTCACTGTCCTCCCACCCTCAGGCTATCCTTCACAACATGCAGGTGGAGTGTAAGTGTCATGGCGTCTCTGGCTCCTGTGAGTTGAGGACCTGCTGGAAGGTTATGCCTCCATTCAGGCGCGTCGGTGTTGTGCTCAAGGAACGCTTTGATGGAGCCACAGAGGTATCAGAATACGCCACAACCTCCTATTAAACCTTGAAAGTCCCCATTCTGTCTGGCTCTCTCACCAATCCTCCTCCTCTTAGGTTCGCCTAACTCGTATAGGATCCAGGACAGCCCTGCTCCCCCGTGACCCCCAGGTCAAACCCCCTGCTGCCAGAGACCTTCTGTACCTTGCACCCTCCCCAGATTTCTGCCATCTTGACCCTGACAACGGTATCCCCGGGACTGCTGGTAGGAAATGCAACGGTAAGATCAACCCAGGACCATCTCACAGCAAATCAATCCAGATAATCCAACTTTTCAATCAAAATGATTACAGAAAAATTATGTTTTTTATAAACGCACCCAGGAACCTCTCGGCTGGCACCAGATGGCTGTGAACTGGTGTGCTGCGGGCCGGGGTACAGAGCGGGCCGGGCAGAGGTGGTGCAACGCTGCTCCTGCAAGTTTTCATGGTGCTGCTCAGTCCGCTGCCAGCAGTGCAAGAACACGGTCACCATTCACACCTGCAGAGTCTAAGAGGTCCCAAACAAGACCAGACCGCCTGAGCAGAAAGACCTCAACAAACCACTAGACAGACACTCATGAACTCAAGATGGGATAAGGACAACCATTTTTACCATAATTAATTCAAACCTTATCTTAAATTCGGGCCAAAAGTCAACTTAAATTAGGTTTGAGCACATGTAACAACAAATAATAATTAAAGCAACAGTAAGTAAGATACAAACAAGAATCACCTGGACAGGTGGGCGGGCACAGACATGCATGCACACAAACACACATGAAACATTTAATCTCACACTGAACTGACAAAGCTTTTAAAGCTGAACTTAACCAGAACTAACAGGGAAACATTGCAGCACTACTTTTGTTTTATGCAAACTATTGGCGTTGTGTCATAGACTAGCAGGTCTTTGAACATTGACTATATTTATGTCTTCCTTCTCTATTCTGGTTTATTTATTTATATATCCAAGTCTTTGCTTCACTTCAGCCTCCAGCAATGACATCTTGAATAGCAAGAATAACCTCTACTTACAACAGTGTCTGTCTTGTGTTTTGTCCCTCACCTTCATGTGAAACTCTTCTGTATGTTCCTGCACAAGCAGTGCTTTTAGGTCTGTTCAAACAAAATCTAATAAATACAGTAGTTTTATCCTAAATGTGTTTATTGAGTTTTTTATTATATATTATCATATGTGAAAGTTTAAAGGTCCCCTGTGTAGTCTTTGACCACTTGAGGCACTACAGAGCAACATTATGATGAGTGTCTCCCCGTTTTAATGCTGGGACATGCTTTTCCAGTCTCTGTGTGTGCCAACAAGCAGGGTTATAGTTTGTTATATTTTTACAGGTTTTTGTATTACATTTGTGTTTTCTCTTTTGTGAACTGTAAAGCAGAGATTGACTTGCCAAGCATCAGCAAAAGGTGGGAAGGGAAAGGGAAGAGGGCCGCTTGCTGATGTGAACACATTTGTTAGGCTTTAAGAATAAACACAATGTGTTTTTCTGAGAAACACTGAATGTAAATGTAGCTATTTGTTAATTAGAATTATCTCTAAGGATTTGTTGTACATGCAGCATTCTCCCTAAAACATACAAAACAATGGCTACTTTCCATGTCATTAAACCATTTTATTAAAAATATCCTGTGATTACAAACACCCAGAATTTTACTAGCAAAGGTTATCATCTCAATCTCTATCAAGATTAAGATCTATTCAAAATATTACAACTTAATTTGTTATATTATCAATCGCTCGAAATTGGTAGTCTAGCAATAAAATAAAAAAAAATCTTGATAAAATAAAAACTCAAGTTTCAAAATGAATAAATGCTAAAAAAAAAATCCCAAAACAAAGTCACGGAATTAATACAATATAAACAAAAGAAGAATAAAATAGATATTCATGAGTCAACTGAAGGGAAATTGATGGAAATGCACTTGGCCTCCCCGGAAGAAAGTAACCGTTACAGACATCTACCTTAGTTTGGAGTGACAATAAATCTCTTGTGCTCTCATCATTCAATCCAAAAGGGTCAGAAAAGAAGGCAAGAGTACCACTTGACATTAAGTTGCCCCTTTAAATGTACTAACCAAAGTTCACTAAAAAACTCAATGTTCAAAGTGTTTACCATTTACATTTCCCTACACTGGGTCTCAATAGGCCACAATACGTAAAAACACAGAGGAGGCCATAGGCAGATAAAATAATATTTCTTGTTTTTAAAAAAAAAAAATGGCGCGACAGTGACAGGCAGGGGGGGCCCGCCCCACCTGAATATCTGTAGAGAAAACACTGCAATTTTAAAAGCTTTCAGTAAAAGGAGATAGGTGACACTTACTGCATTTACTGCATGCTGAAGTTTTGCTCGCTCAGCCTCTTTCAAAGTTTATTTTGAAGGCACAATCAGTGTACATGTGTATTAGAATAAATCTCAATGGCATTGTACCTCCCCTTCCCCTTTTGCTTTGTCCTTTTTTTTCATAATGGCCATTGGTCTTTCTGATGCTTTGATTCACCCCACCTATTTTTTTCACCATCACATCTCTCACTGCTGTTGTTCGTCTATAGGAGAACGCACTTTCTCTTGGTTTTGGTCTCAGGAGGCTCCAAGGCTGCCAGGATGGCCTCGTCGAACACATTCTTAAGCCCTCGCTGGTTGAAAAGAACAGAAAACAAGACAGAGTGTAAGACTTGACTGATTTAACAAATATCAGGTTGCTTTCAGCTTGAACGGTGTGATGAAACTTTAACAAAAGCCCAAACCTGTGTCAGAGCAGAGCACTCCACGTATTTGACTGCCTTGAGCTCACGAGCCAGCTTCTCTCCGCTCTCAGAATATAGGGGGCGCTGTTTGTTCTTTGCAAGCTTCTCGATCGTGTTGCTGTCTTCCCGCAGGTCCACTTGTGTGCCCACTAACAGGAAAGGAGTGCGTGGGCAGTGATGAGAAATCTCAGGAACCCACTGGGGAGAAGAAGATATAAAGATTAAATTCACATTTCCCTCCTTCCTGTCTAAGACTGAGTACTTCAATACTTCTTTGGTACTGAACAAAATGTGCTTGCTGCTCTTAATACTGAAAACTGGCAGTGAGTGTCTGGTCAGATTCATAGTCTTATTTAATTACTCGTTGATCCTGTAGTTCTTGATTTAAATCAACATTTTGCCAACTTCAATTTCATGTATGGAAAGAGCTTTCCTTTTTGGTTGTTTGTGTTTAGACAATATTTAATATTTAATAACTTTGGCTGGTTTGTTAAATTTTTTAAAGGAAAACAATGAACATTTCTCAATGTCTGGAATCATAAAAATTATATTTTTAGTATCAGTACTAGGTATCATATCTGCTCTAATACAAAAAAAATCAACCCTCCGCCCTAGTCATGTCTGTAGAGCTGAAATGATGTAGAAAAAAATCTAGTTTCAGAAAATGTTCCCCTGTTCCAGCGTCTCAAATGTAAGCATTTGTCACCTTTTTGGTCGGAAAAAATTTGACATTTGATTTGTGGTCACCTTAGGGAACAAGGAGAATTGTGACAGGCATTTTCCACTATTTTCTTCCATTTCATATACCTAACAATTAAACAGTGAATCCAGAAAGTAATCTGCCAATTATTCAATAATAAAAATAATCCTAATCCTACATGTCTGTCAAACTAGTTTTGCAAACTAGAGCCGCAACAATCTGTCGATTAATCAATTAGTCGTCAACTATTAAATTAATCCAAAATTAAAATCTATATTTTCAGCTTCTCAATATATTTTGAGAAGCTGAAAATATAGAAATATTTTCTGGTTTCCTAACTCCTCTATGACAGTAAACTGAATATCTTTGGGTTGTGGACAAAGACATTTTGAGGATGTCACCTTGGGCTTTGGAAAAAAAAGGAAAAATATTCTGATATTTTATGGACCAAATTGACAGATTATCTTCGATAATATTACATGCAGCCCAGCTGCAAACCAGCACCAGATGCATTTAACAACAAAAGTAAGTTATTTAAATTATTTAAAAACTCACCTTCTCTTTGACGTTTTCAAACGATGAGGGTGAGACGACTGAAAAACAAACAAGGAACACGTCTGTCTGTGGATAGCTGAGCGGACGCAGCCTGTCGTAATCCTCCTGACCTGAGAACGACAATCACAAGAGAAACAGGGAAGTTTTTCTATTTGTTTTAGAGTCACACAAAAAGGAGATAAAAAGAGAGTCTTTCAAAGACATTCATGTTACCTGCTGTGTCAAATAGGCCAAGTGTATAGGGCTCTCCCCCAATCATCACCGTCACTGCATAATTGTCAAAAACCTTTGAAAGAAATTTCAAATTATTTCACAAAAACAAAAGGCTGCATGTTCGTTTGCCAATGCGTTTATGACATACAGTACATTGTTATTTCTCTGTATGTGACTCTGTATTTATTACTACTCACCGTAGGCACATATTCTGAGGGGAACTTGTTGGTTGTGTAGGAGATCAGTAAGCAGGTCTTTCCTACTGCACCGTCTCCTACCACTACACATTTTATAGTCTGCATCTACGGGGATAAAGAGAAAATAGGAAACATCACAAGAGTGTGAGCAAATATAAAGTGTCCCACACATTTACCGCCTGACACTGAGAGAGGAAGTAATACACATAAAGTCTAAATATTATCTCCAGGCAGTGCCAGGCAATCTTATGAGTAACAGACAATTCTGAGGTACTTGTACGTTTGTTGTTACTTTATAATTCATTAGAGGGAAATACTGCACTTTTTAATTTAACTTTACAGATATAGTTACTAGTTGGTTACTAAAATGACTTACAATAAGCTCTAACCTAACCAGCTACAACCTCATAATGCTGCTTACACAGTGACATATCAGTAATAATAATCCAATAATGTTATATATCACTCTGAAAGGAGTGGTTCTGCTGCATGGTGAATATATTTACTTTATGCTAGAATGATCAAGAAGCACCTTACAATATAGTAGATAAAACTAGCTCAATCATACTCGACTAGTTACAACATTAACTTAAGATTAGGCATCAGTACTGATAATCAAAAAATAAAATACATAGTTGAATAACACTCAAAGCAGCCATTTTTTACTTTAACTTAATGTTCTTCCAACATGTTACTTGCAATTATTTATAAAGTTTTACAGTGTGGTAATTACATATATAATAAAATACTATAAAATAGCTCTGGACTAACCACAAAATGCTTCTTACAAGTTAAATATTGTAATTCTTGAAGTTTTTTATTTTATATCTTGAATACATTTCTTGATGCTCCTGAACACATCACCGGTGATGTGACTTGGGTGTTGCAGGTGTTTCAGCATCAGACAACCTCACCGTGGTGATCCAGCCGTGGTTGGTCAGACCACAACTTGTGTTCATGCGCTCATCCATTTATTTGACTTCTTAAGTTACTAATTATCTTTCAGTTTAAGAGTTAACGATATTGATTATTAAGTCCACCTAGCTGAACTAATGCAGTCTAATACAACAGCCCTACAATAAACCCAACCTTCATAAAGGTCATAATGTTGGGTTTTTGTTGAAACTGTTTTAGGTGTTGTGTAAATGAGTCTTAATCAATGCTTTATCACAAGCAGGTGTGCTGGAAAGACCAACTAATTGTGTCACTTTTTATTTAAAAGCACAAACTATAGCTAGTTTAATTGTAAAATATTACAGCTCACCTGCTACAGGCGTGTGATTTGACTGATTATGTTCATTTGTAGTAAATAAAAACAAGTTAAAATATAGGAAGCTAGACATAAATGAACAGGATAAGTAATAATTTCTCAATTATCTGGCCACTTCATACAGTTTAGAGGTACTCCTGCTTGATTGCAATACTCCCATTGTGTGTTGTTTTGGGTGGTAAGTACAGTGAGAAATAAGAACAACCTTCACATTCACATCGTACTGTGCGTGTTATTACATGTGCATGTTACAGACTATTGATGACAATGAATCACTTCCGCATAGGCTGCATACCAGAGATCTTATAGAAGAAGAAAAAAACAGGGCCTATTAGCCCGGTGTAAGTCAGAAGCGGATACTGCCCAACACTTCCGCTAAATAAACACTTCATCGGCTAAAAAAAAAAAAAAAAAGTACTGAAACTCTAATTAAAATGTAGAAGCAACAACCAACATCAGATACGAGCCCTGGTTGTAGTTATTCAGTGATTGTATTGGCTCAGATTGATAAAGTGTCAACTATCACACTGTATCTCTCAGTTAGCCTGCTTACTAAACTAGGAACAGATCCATGTTTAACCACCAAACACAAGGAAACAGTCGCAGCAGCAGTGGCGATAACAGACAACAGTGAAACCTCATTAACACATTGATCAACACTAAATGAAGCTTCAGGGTTAGAAACTTTTAACACACCGCGGTTTATTTAAAAAAAAAGACAAAAAACCCCAATAAACAAACATTTCCTCTCGTTAGAAACTTTATATTGTTGAAGGGATTCTGCTACGTGTGTCCCATAGTGTAACTAGCCGTGAATAGTTGTTTCAGACTGTTTTTCTAACTCTACTCACCGTTTTTCTTCACACAGGTTAGGCGTTGGTTACATCCGGGTTTGAGGGTCGAATTACTTTTTAGCGCAGCCGCAGACCAGACGAGCCGTCGTCACAGCTGTGGAATACACACACCGCCCCCTGCTGGACACACACACACACACA